ACCCCTTACTGCACGACCACAATCAAGGTGACCGACCCATCCACCGTTGTCATCGGCTTCCAGTAGTGGGAGGTGGAAATCTTATTGTATGACGTTTATTCGAATAAAAGGCCCTCACACGCTCACGAAGAAGAAGGGGACGTCGCCGCGGTTGTCTTGATGCGAGGGCGGGATGTAGAAGTCTCCGACGCAGCACCGGCCCGCAAGGCACCTCGATGTGGCGGCCAGGGTGTGGCTCGAGCTGCAGTGGGCGTCGGAGTAGAAGACCACCGAGTAGACGTTGGGCGGCTGTGTCAGGCGGACCGCGTAGGAGGCCCACTTGGTGTCGCCGCGGAAGGTGCCCGGACCCGGGTAGCAGGTGAAGGCGTGGGGGGTGGCCACGACGGCGAGGTCGCTCTTGCCGCACCCTGGGGCGCCGTCTACCGCGTAGCATTCGCGGCTGCAGAAGGTGACGTTGGCGGTCTTCTGGGCCGAGCACACGCCCGCCATGGTGATCACCACAAGAAGCACCAGCACGGAAACACTCATGCCGACACACTGCATCGTCTCTGGTGGTGGGTACTGTTGTGTAATGGCTTGCCCACCGCGACAGTGCTTTGCGGGTTGACGGAGTCTTGGGGGACAATACGGCACCAATGGGTTTTTTGTGACGAGCACATCTCGCCGACTGGCTGCCATCTCTCCGACCAGGGAAGAAGCAAGCGAATACCCTAATCTTCCAGAATGGCCATTGGGGCCTTTTCAGGTGCACACCTTGAGCTGGAAAATCAATGTACAATTTTCAAGCTGAACCGTCCCACACCTGTTTGGGAGGGTATGAAATATTGACTGTGACAATGACAACAACACTGTCAGTGAGGGATGTGATGAGGCAGCAGATGGGTTGCTGCACCAACAACAACCATGCATGCATGCACAGACTGCTTGGCCCATGTCACTGGTGTGGTGCCAAACAACCTTTTACCTGTTGTGCTACCCCTTCATCAACAACTCCTAGCTGTACATGTGCTGTACATGTGATCCTGCACCCACAACTGTTGCATCATCTTCCAGACCAGGCCACCCTCTTACAAGCTCTCTCCATCACAATGCACAACCATCCTCAAGAAGGTCACCAGTGAGGCAGGACAGGACACACAGGTCTTCATGGCCCAAAAAATCCAGCATCATGGTGGGCATCAAAACCACTATCAAGCCAGACACCTTGGCAGATACTTCTGGTGTCATTATGTCACCTGAACCATCCCCAACACATTCACAGACATGCTCTTTAACACTACCTTACATTCCCTCCCCTCCCCAGCTCACCAACATCAAGAGAAGAAAAGAAGCTTTCCAGGCCTGTCTCACTTCTTGTCTCACTTCACACCAACCAACCCAGTCAATCAGTTGTGGGTAAGGAGCTCCCTTGGTGCAGTTGAACAAGGTGGTCATGTCGTCCTCCTCTGCACTGGGGGCACTGGGAGCAGAGCCACCGGGTTGAGGTGCTCCACGGGGTCCAGTCCACCAGAATTCCAGGTTGAGTCCCAGCGCCACCAGCGCCGACCAGGGCGGCGTTCTTCAGAGTCAGCAAGGGCCTACGCCACAAGCAGGCGAACAGGAAAAGTGCGGTGAGGGTGGTCTTCATGGTAGTGGTCGTGCTGTGGTTGTCCTCAAACTCCAGCTTGTGTGGCCAGGCAGTGGCTGTCCCATGGACATCCAGTCAACCTTCCATCACTGACTAACCTGATATTCTTGTTCAATAAATAGCTCCATTTTGCCTCTCATGTTGCACATGCCTGAAATTTCAAGTGCCTCAGTGGGCCTTGGGGTACTGGAGGACGAACTCCTTGAGCTCCAGGAAGTTGGGCGTGCCCAGGCCAGAGGCGGCGTCCCACCTGCACCAGGTTTTGTGGTGTGTGTTGTCAACCGGGGAAGATACGCGTATCAGCGATAATGGAAAAGGAAATAACATATTGTGAGCGTGTACCCGTCGGTGGCGTGGTAGCCGTGCGGGCAGCACACGGGATCGAAGCCGAGAGCGCCGCAGCGGTTGTTGCCCCACGTCACGTCTGCATACGTGAATGTGTTATGTCACCAGGTCGACAAACAAATGATACGACACACATACACAACACGACACACGACACACGACACACGACACACGACACACGACACACGACACACGACACACGACACACGACACACGACACACGACGAAACACAACGACACGGTGTTCTAACACAGCACGCGCGTACCATAGAAGGTCTGGGGACGCTCGCGGCGGGCCTTGTAGAGCATCGGATTGAGGAAGCCCAGCGGCGGCAGGCCAGCGGCGGCGCGCGCGTCGTTGAGGAGGGTCACCACGCCGGCGAAGATGGGCGCGCTCGCACTCGTGCCGTCCACGGGAATGAACTTGCCGCTCAGGGCCACCATCAAGTCTGCAGGAAAAACAAGATAAATCAATAATTAATAGTTCATATAAATGAATATACAAATATATTGAAAGGGCTGCGATTGGCGTACTGTGGCCAACCGCCGACACGTCAGGATAGGCGCGGCCATTGGGATTCCACACGCCTGATAGCACCCACACCCACACATCAACATAAACTATTACTCTGTGGTTGTCGTGTGTCGTGCGTCGTGTGTCGTGTTACCAGAGGCGGGGAAGGTGATGGACTTGTGGTTGAGGTAGCGTTCCACCTCCTGGGCCTGGTAGGGCGCACGAGCGCTGATGTTCGAGAAACCGCCGCCGGTCGTCCAGAACAGGCCCTGTGTGCCGATGACGTCGCCACAACCAGACGGACGTGTGAGTGCCACGCCCTCCATGTTCACGACACACGACACGATCGCACGACACACAGGACACACGACACGATGACACACGAAGTAAGCACCTGGTCAACCGAGACAACGATCTCGCCGAGCGGCCCGTCGAGGCAATCAACGCCCTGCTGGTAGCAGATGGGCTCCGCCGCGGGCGTAATAATCGTAGAGCCTGCGCTCCAAAAAAAGTTGAACAAATAAGCAAATAGATGAAAAAATGAAGTCAAAAAGAAATATGTGGCGCAACGTACTGACGGAGGTGACGTAGGCAGACTGCGACGGCCAATCGGCGTGCAGGGTGTTGCAGTTGGGCACGGCCATGGGCTCGTCGCCCAGGTCGCCGGCGCCGGTGTCGCCCGAGGCGATGATGATGGTGATGCCGCGGAGGGCCAGCTTCTTGAACTCAAAGTCAGCGCGGGCCAGGTAGCCCTTGCCCAGGTACTTGTCGACGTTGACCTCGGTCATGCCGTAGCTCAGGCTGTTCACCTGCGGGGCTGTTGCCATGAAACCAAAATTTAAAATTTAATATAAAGGTGTCAGCCACAACATATTAATGTGTGACAAGATAAACATATAAAAGTGTTCATAAATATAGCATTGGTAATGGTCGTACGGTTCTCAGTGTTGGACATCTGGAGCGCCCACTGCAGGATGTCGTCGATCTCGACCGTGGAGTTGGCGTAGATCGACCAGAACACGGTCGGCGCACCTGTACAGCGAGCACTGAGTCAGACACCGACGTGCACGGCGCAAACGGCACACGGCACGAAGCGTGACATGTGTACCTGGAGCAACGCCCATGATGTACTGAATGTCGAGGTTGGCCTCACCGCCGGGCTGGTTCGGGTAGTTGGGTCCTAAGGAGGGAGCGAATTAACGAAAGATCCGCGTGTCGTGTTGCGTGTCGTGTGCCGTGTGTGCCGTGTGTGCCGTGAGTGGGGTGGGTACGGTACCGATGACGGTGACGGGGGTGTCGGTGGGGAGACCGGTCTGCTCGAGGAAGAGGGTGAGATCCGAGGGCGAGTAGTACTGCTGCTCGAACTCGACCACGCACTGGGTCACGTTGGTCGTCACCAGCGTGTTGGGCGGAATGTTGTACTGTGCGCGACACACCACACACACACACACCACACACCACACAACGTCAGGTATTGGTGTCCGCTGACGATACTAGAAGGGCCAAGGGCTACCTGCTTCCAGATGTTCTGGGGTACGATGGGCGGAGTGGCCAGGACGGGGTAAGGGTTGTAGCCGCTCGGGCCAACATGGTCGTTCTCGAACGCGGCCGCCACCGACACGTTCAAGGCGTCATAGAGCCACGCTGCATTGCGCACATACCAAGCATTAATAACAACATTTCTATTGACAGTAATGAATCATGTGTGTACCCTTGACCGAGCCGGTGCACGTGGTGTAGTTGCCGTTGAAGGTGCACTGAGAATCGCTGAAGAAAAGGAAGAAGAAGAAGAAGAAGATGATGATGAGTCTTAAGATTCTGATGATGTGGTGTGATGCGGAAAACGTACAGCCACTCCGACTTGGACTTGCCCACAGCCGGGTTGGTGGAGTTGATCTGCACATAGAAGCCAGCGATGGCCGGAGGAGCCTCCGAGCAAGGCTGTGTATCCGCACGAATCACACACACACACACACACACACATCAGCCAGAACAACACGCCGGTCGCGACCATCGCAAGAGAGCAGAAAGAAATGGAGAGTCGCATAACCTTCTTGGCGTCCTTCGTGTACGGCCGTTGGCGCAC